TTTTATGCAAGAATGCCATCAGAGTGTTAATACAATTTGCATCAACGTATTTATGTGAAACTGGATTTAGCAAACTAGTTTCAATAAAAACTAAATACCGCTCGCGTTTAAAACCTGAAGATGATATGCGAATTGCAATTAGCAACATACATCCAAACATCGATGAGATAATTAGAAACTTGCAGCCACATACATCTCATTAAAGGGCAATTTACTGATTTTTGTGTTATACAAAAAGTATTTTCTTAAAATTATAAATAAAATTAATATGAGTCAAATATGATGATGTTTTTATTCGATGAAACGAAAGAAATGCTCAAAATATACATCGTATTTGTGAACATTTATCTCTAGGGGTTGCCAAAAATTTTCTCTCTACAAAAGGGGTCGCAGTCGAAAAAAGTTTGCGCACCACTGGTCTAGGCTATCACAAATTTTTATCCTCATCAGAGGGGACGGCACCCCAGCTTCGATAGTCCGATGACCTATGCTTGAAGTCGAGCACTTTACGGCAAAACAGTTTAATGGCGACCCATACCGCACACCCTCAGACCTTGCAGCGACTGAGGTTACCCACCCGCAAACAGATCGTAATGCTTGTCTTCGGTAATCTACTGGGAACCGTGTCTTAACGATCAGTTCACAGCGGAACCCATGAAAGGGTGAAAAAAGTTTTTCGAAATATCGCAAACAAATTATGGCAAAAGATTTTTTCCCTACTATGTAATCCTGACATTTTGAATTAAAACTTTTCAGCATTTGAAACTTTAGGGCTTACTCTGGGTTTATTCTAGATCAGAGGTGGCGAACCTTTATACACCAACGTGCCATTTTTCATAAAAAATTGTTTAATGAGGTCATAGACGTGCCGTCAAATAATTTTGCTTCCGTGATTATTGGGAAAATAATAATACTAAATACTATCAACTCAAAACTCTTTATTGACATTGAAAATAAATACATTGTGCCATGTCTCAGTTATACGCGTGAAGTAACATCAGTGTGACTTCTGTTGTTGCAGATTAGATGACAAATAACTTAGATTAGTTTGTAAGATGTTAGTTTAAGCAGGACTGTTAATTTTTTTAATAGTTATTTATTGTTAGCTTGTTTTTTATCGTTATTAATTGCTTTTTTAGCATTAATTGTTAATTTTTTTATTAATAATTGTTTATTATTTTGTTTTGCTTTTGTGAATTTTAATTTAATTGTTGCATATGCCTCATAGTGTAATAACAATTCATAGTTTAATTACAATTGTGATCGGTGGCGTGCCCAAAATATTGTGTCTCGTGCCATAAATGGCACGCGTGCCATTGGTTCGCCATCCCTGTTCTAGATTATATCAGTCGTTGAAGAGCCGACTTAATTTTGGGCTTACGATTACTCATGTTCAACTCCGAAGCCTCGTCATTTTGAACCCAATCCAGAAGACAAGGACCCCCAGAGGTATTGATTCGTTATGAGAACATGGAGGACTTTGTGACTTGACAGATTTAACGTGTATCAGTCACCATTTACTACATGGGGAGTCTTCGGCCGGATGGGATCTAACTCTAGAACATGTGCCCAGTGCCACGGCCCAAAGGTACTTATTAAAATTAACTTAAAGGGAGCAATGGTTCAACTCATGGGAAAATGGTACTTTTTCAACTAAAAGAAACGTAAAAAAACCCATCATGACGCCAATGATGCTCTATTAATTTTAATAACAGGTTTTAATAAAAATAAAAAAGAGTTATGTACTAAAAAGCAAATTTAATGGATAAAGTTACTCACTTGTATAGGAGAAACAAAAAAAAAATTACCATATTACAGTGATGCTTCATTAATTTTGGTAATAAGCATTACTTGGTATTATCAATGCAATTTAAATAGATACCAAATATTTTAACATGGGTATTACATTACTATATTTGATACCTATTAAATCCTCCCAAAATGTTGGAAAAGGATTTTAACAGCCCTCGAAATGAATAAATTATTTGATTGCATCAGATTCTGAATATCATGAATTGACCTCAATAATAATACTTTTTTATATTTCTTTTGATGGAACGAACTACTAAAAATCTTTTTTGCTTAATGTAATAACGTAAAGCTACAATGTCAGGACAAAATTGGAATTATTTTAGCTTTATGTTTACGCTACGTAAACGCTAACCTTATTTTCCGCTCTGTGGTGATATTGCAACATATTTTCAAAATCTATTCAAATATTGGAGTATGCGGATGATTTAGACATCATTGCAAGATCTGTTCCTGCATTAAAAGAAGCTTTCCTTTCTTTGGAGCTTGCTGCTAGGGATATGGGACTAATCATCAATACCGATAAGACCAAATACATGCCTGTACTTGCTAAATTAAATTTTACTGAATCCTATCTGGAGATTGGTTCCCACAGGTTTCAGACTGTTCAGAATTTTACTTACCTTGGTTCAATAGTTACTGCCGACAATAACATAGACAATGAGATTCGGAGTCGTCTAATTTGTTCAAATAAAGCTTTTTATGGTTTAAAACGTTTTTTCAAATCCTCTCTTTTATCAAAAAATACAAAACTTTTACTCTATAAAACATTAATTAGGCCAATACTTACCTATGGATCTGAGACCTGGAACCTAACTCAAGCTGGTGAAAATAAAATTGCCATTTTTGAGAGAAAAGTTTTGAGGGCCATCCTTGGTGGGATAAAAATAAATAATTCCTGGAGAAGACGATATAATACTGAACTGTATAAAATCTACAGAGAGCCAGATATTGTGAAATTCATTAAAATTTATCAAATGAACTGGGCAGCTCACATTTTCAGAAGGAATGATGACTCAAATTTAAAAAAAATCCTGTTACACAAACCCCTAACGAACAGGAAAAGAGGTAGACCCAGGCTGAGATGGTTGGATTTAGTTGAGACTGATTTCCTTACTCTAAAGGAGAAAAACTGGCGAACAAGTGTCAAAAGTAGAGAGAAGTGGATTCGAATTCAAAGGAAGGCACTGGCCCACCCTGGGCTGTTTAGCCAGATATGATGATGATGATGAGTGATATTGCGCATGCCCAGAAAAAAAAGTATGTACGTTAGTTTCAACGCAATTATTATTTTAAAAATAGAGATAAAAAAAACACCTAAGTTTGGGACAAAATATTTTTCCTCAGAGAAGTTTTAATTTCGGATACTTGTGCAGAAGGATGTACATGAAAATTAAGTCAATGCTACTAGAAAGAACACAGGAGAAGATCTGAAAGGAGACAGATGGAATTTTATAATTATTTTTATGGAATCATCAGTTGGCCAGACAGCCCAATGTGAGCCAATGCCTTCCTCTGAAGATTTCTCCATAACGACTTCCGATTTATCTTTCATCTCCAATTCTTTTCATTCATTGCAGGAAATCCATTGAGTTCAGCCCGTCTCAATCGCCTTCTTGTTCCAGTGGATCTAAAAAGAAGCATCTTTTTAATTGTATTGTCATCACTCATTCGAATCACCACCCAATTCATTCTATTTATTTTTATGTATTGAATAATATCGTATTGTTTATA